CGGTGCCCGTGCTGCTGCGGAGGGAGCAATATGTACTCGTCACGGTGACGCAGTACGGCTACCAGGGGTAAGACACTGCCGCCTCCGCCGCCGCCGCCGCTGCTCCTGCTGCTGCTGGTCATGTCCAAACAAGGCTGCTGTGTGGAATGGAAGACTCTTGGCTGCTGCTGCTGGAAAGCCGCAGCAGCCACGCCAGCAGCAGCACTTGCTGCTGAATCTGCGGCGCCGACGGAGGGAACGGCAGAGCCTGCTCCCCGTGCGGCAGAAGCTGGCACATTTAGTGGGGCAGCAGCAGCAGCAGCAGCAGCACGCGTTGGCGCTAAGGTGGGCTGATATACCAAAACACCTTCTTCTGTTTGTCTCAAAACGAAACACCAGCTTCCTAAAGCAACAGACACAAAATCGGTGGTACGCAATTGCCAGCAGCCGCAGCAGCCGCAGCAGCCGCAGCAGCAACAGGGCCAATCGCAGCAGCAGCAGCAGCAGTAGCAATATAATGGCAATTACCACCCCGCGAGATGAGGAGGCAGTCAGTGGCAGAGTTCCAGCCCCAATGGAGGGCGCCTACGAAGTCCAGAGTCAGCGCGGCCTCTGCTGCAGCTGCTGCTGCTTCAGCTGCACCTGCTGTAGGGGCAGCAGCAGCTGCTGCTGATGCTGCTGGAGCCCCTGCTGCTGGATCCGTTGCTGCCGCCTCTTCTAAGTAAGGCCCGAGAGAGCTCGGCTGTTGGCCATCTGCTAAGGACGGCGAAGCCGCGTTTGCTGCTGCCGCTGCTGCGGCTGCCTTTGGTGAGCTTGCTGCTGCTGCTGCTGCTGCTGTAGGCTCGACGAGGCTTCGTGGCGGCCTCGTTAGAAGCCGCCAGCAGCGCCTGAGGCGCAGAAAGAAAGACGCGTGCTGCTGCAGCGAAAGCTGAGGGGCCCTTTGGGCTGGTTGGGGGCCCCTGCAGCAGCAGCAGCTGCTGCAGCAGCGAAAAGGTGGGGGCCCCTCACAAGCGGGCTTCACTTGCTTGGGGCCTCTAGCTGCTCTGCTAGCTGCTGCTGGTGGCGGGGGGCTCTCGAGTCTTAGCCGCTTCCTTTCGGCTCCTGTGTCTTCCCGTTGGTCTGTTGCTGCTGCTGCTGCTGCTGCTGCTGCTGCTGTGGCGGCGGCTCGGCGCGCAGCCGCAGCAGCTACTCCTGCTGTTCTGAGGGCCGTTGCTTTTTCTGCAGTGCGATTGCAGCAGCAGCAGCAGCAGCAATTAGAACCTGCGGTGCAAGAGCAAAGAAAGGCAAAGACCCCATACAGTAGCAGCGCAGCAAGAGCAGCAAGAAGAGCAGCAGCAACAGAAACAGCAAAAGCACCCAAAGAAGCAGCAGCACCAGCAGCAGAAGCAGCACCAACAGCAACAGTCAAAATAGTAGCGCAAGACGCTCCAAGATAAGCAGCAAAAAGGGACACTCGCAGCAAAGGCTGCAGCTGCAGCTTCGACGGCTGCCCCAGCAGATTTTCTGTGGACGTTGCTGCTGCTGCAGCTGCTGTTGCTGCCACTGCACCAGGCGCAGCAACGGGCGCAGCAGCAAACAGCAGCAGCAGCTGCTGATGCTCACCTGGGGGGCCTCCTAAGTTAGGACTCGCATCTGTGGCCTCCAGCAGCAACTCAAACCTGCCTGTGGGCCCCGGCAGAAGCTCAGCTAGTGCTGCTTCAAGGGCGCTGTGCAGCAGCCCCCCAGGCTGCTGCTGCTGCTGCAGCTGGCGGCAGCAGCAGCAGAGCTGCAGCAGGTCCCTGGCCGTCAAGTAGCAGCCTAAGTGCTGCAGCACTGCTGCAGAGTCCCACAGAAACTCAGACGGGGGTGCGGGGGGCCCCCAGACCCTGTCAGTAACTTTAGGGGCCCCAGGGGCCCCCGAACTGCAGAGCTGGGGAAAAGGGGGCCCTCTCATGGCGAGGCCCTAGTCTGGCGCTGCAGCCTGGGGTCTCCCTCCCACGGGGCCTCTGGGGGCCCCTGCTGCGCTTGTGGCCTCGGAGAAGCTGCAGCAGCAGCAGCACGGGCTGCAGCAGCAGCAGCGGAGTTGCTGCAGCTGTCAGCAAGGGGGGACTTCGTTCGTTAGGAGCTGCTGCATTGCTTTGGCTTTTCTTTTCTTCCTTTTAAAGACTTCCAGCATACCTGGGCTGTCTAGATTCAGGTGTATATACACTGCAGCGCAGCTGCTGGGGCCCCTCACCTAAATGGCCACACAGCATTTAGGGGCCCCCAGCTCACGGCAAAGCCAGTGTGTGCATGCACTTAGGGTCTCGGCAATAAGGCACTTTTAAGCTCAGGGGGCCCCTGGGGTCCCCAAGGGGCCCCTTGGGACACCTTGTGGGCCCCTTGGGGGCCCCAGGGGCCCACGGACCCAACTATCTTCTGCAGGCGTTGAAGGCTCTCAGCAGAGCAAAGGTGTCATCAATATTGGTAAATAAATATTTTAAATTAATATCATGGTGTTTTAAATTCAGGCTAAGCCTTTTTCTTAAAGACTACAATAACCTCAGTGGGAATCGAACGCGGGACCTCTCCCCTACAGGATGCTAGGGCTGATGTGTGCAGGATTCAGGTATGGACAGCGGCCTCAGCAGCAGCAACAGCAGCAGCACCCCA